AGCTTGTTATGGGTGAATGATGTTCCCCCAAACCATGTGTTGAAGGCCTGTCCCCCAGAACCCCAGCATTGACTTTACTGGAAATGGGGCTGTTGCCCTTGTACTTAGTGAGGCTCTGCTGTAGGTGGTGGCCATGGTCCATGCTGATGTGTCCTTGTGAGGGGGACAGGTGGACACAGATGGGGAAGGGGAGAGCAAGTCCCCACAGCCTTCAGGGGGCTGTTCCAAGCCACGCATTTATTGAGACACAGTCATGGCTCTGTAAATGCTCTTTTTTTTTTGGTCTTTTTGAGACGGGGTCTTGCTATGTAGTTCAGACTGGCCTTGAACTCACTTTGTAGCCCAGGCTGGACTTCAACTCACAATAATCCTCCTGCTTCAGCCTTCCGAGAGCTGGGATTACAGGCATGTGCCACCATGCCCAGCCTGTGAATGTTCTTGCTGACTCCATGTAATAAGTCCTTTTTTGGGGGGGTTTGGGTACTGGGAATCAAACTCAGGACCTTGAGCTTGCCAGGCAGGTGCTGCACCACTGAGCTATATCCCCAGGCCTACCCGCCCCCTTTTTTGAGACAGAATCTCATTATGTAGTTCAAGCTGGCTTTGAACTCACTATGTAGCCCAGCTGGCCTCAGACTTGTGGTGATCCTCTTGCCTCAGCCTCCTGAGGGCTGGGATTACAGGCTTGTGCCACCATACCTGACTTCCATATAATCAATTTTAATTAAAGAAAAGTAGAACCCACTTTGATGCCTTTTTGGTGTGTGAGTCCCCAGGGGATGAGGTCCCGGGGACCTTGGTATGGGGTGAGTGGAGGGTGTAGGAGGGTCTGGGTCTGCTGAGGACTTGGGTTCAGGCCTGAGCCCAGGAGGGCTCCTGGGGTAGAGTGCTGGGATCAAGGTCTGCAGAGGCCAGGCTGCCGTGGGGAGTCAGGAGGAGCAGGCTGGAGGATGGGGATGAGGTCCCTGCTGTAAAAGATGGAGATGGGCTGTGAACTGGGCCATTTTATGTGGGGAGACTAGTCTGGGGTCAGCTGGTTGGCTGGGGGCTGTTGTGCCTTTTGAGACTCCGAAGATGAGGTCCTCAGCTCCTGCAAGCACCCTGGGAGCCCAGGGCCCACCTTCCCCTAGAAGCCAGCTCTCTCTTACCTGTCCTTCTCCCTACATCCACCTCAGTAGGGTGGACTTCCTGCTGGTTCTCTCTCCTGGCACCTCCTGCTCAGCTTGCTGTTTCAGTCTCCTTGTTGCCCCCTCACGGAGCTTCTCTGTCCCTCTAAACAGGCCATCCCGCCACCAATGGCCCCTCCCTGGCTTCTTCCTGCTTACTGCTGTCTGTCACTGTGTCTGGTCTCATTTTCTGCCTTCCGTCTGTACATCCTCTGGCCCTGGCCTGTGTCACCCCAGGACCCTGCCCAGAGCTACACTATGTGCTGTCCTGGTGGTTCTGTTTCTTGGTAACTGGGGACTGGTTTGGCATTGTGGGTTGAATTGTGTCCCCCTCCAAAAGCTGTATTGAAGTCCTAGCCCCTAGCACCTATAAATGTGACCTTATTTGGAAGTAGGATCTTTACAGATGTAATTTATAAACCAAGATGAGGCTGTGCTGGGTGAGGATGGGCTCTGATCCAGTCACCAGTGTCCTAAGAAGACAGGCTCTGGAGAAGGTATGTAACCATGCAGCGGAGATGCAGCTGTACCAGTGTGTGCCAAGGGGCATCAGCCTTCCCAGGGGCTGCTGGGGCTCGAGTGCCAGAACTGAGAGGACAGTCCCACTCCCCCAAGCCCTCAGTGTGGCAGCCTTGGGAACAGAGTGGATTTGGACTCAAGTGTTAGTGACCACTTACTTCAGTGCTGTACCTTCCTCCACCTTGGAGGAAATCTGTGTTGTGCACTGGGTTCTGATTGCTCCCAGCTCTGCCCTCAGCTTCTGGTAGAAGGAGGGGCTGCTGGCACCTGGCATAGTTCTGTCACTTCTGGTTGAAGTGCTGGGCATGGGACCCTGAGTCTGCGTTGTCTGCGCTGAACTGTCCTGCAGCACATGAGGTGCTGTGTGCACTTTGCATGGGCCTGTAGGTTGTGCTAGGCATGGTCTTTCCTGTGAATTGGTCAGCTGGCAAGTTCCTCCTAAGCATGTTCACTAGGGGTTTTTTTATTTGTTTGTTTTTTTCAGACAGGGCCTCACTGTGTAGCCCAGGCTGGCCTTAAACTCATGGAGATCCTCCTGACTCAGCCTCCCAAAGGCTGGGATTATAGGTGTGTACCACCATGCCTGGCACAGTAGGTTTTGAATATCTGTCAGTTAGGGTTGACAAGATGGTGGTTCTGCATTTCCTTGCTGTTCTCTTTACTGAGATGCAGCTCTTCCAGATGTCTGTGTGTTGTGTCATCATGGACAGTGGCGCAGTCAGGGAAGTGATGCCAGTGTCTCCTCGTGCTTGGTCAGATTTTGGGGTCGTTTTTTTGTGTCTGATTTCTGATCCATGGTTATGTATTGTACCTGGTCCCCTCCAGTGAAGACATGGCCTTGCTCTGTCCTTCTGTGACTGCAACGCTGCTGTAGGCTGATTACTGGTTTGAGGAGGCCTTGCTTGGTTTATCTGACATTTCCTCCTGACAGGTCCATGCTGTCTTCCTTTGTCAGGACCTCACAGCAGGCTGTGTCCTCTCCAGCTGCAGTCTTCCTGGGCCACCCTCCTGAGTACTGAGCTGATAGGCATGTGCCTCTGTTCCTGGCTAGGGGGTGGATTGTCAAACTGCCTGTTCCATCTACCTTTGTAGTTGGCACCGTGTTGTAAGGAAGTACTTTCCTTTCTCCTGTATACTCTACTGATTTTCACAGCTGACGATGTGGGTGTGGGTTTGGGGATCATCACGTCCCTCTGGAGTGATCCACTCCGTCACCATGTGCTGCTTGTCAGTGGCACCTTTGTCCTCCTTGGCACCTGGCCTTGCACGCTGCATCCCAAGGCGCTTCAGCTGTGGAATTAGGCATTTAGCTATATTGTGCTGCTGAGGCCTTTCTAGGACTGATGTGTGCTTTGTAAAACCGGGAGGTTTTGACAAGGCAGATGTCAGGCCCCAGAGCAGCGTCAGAGCCAGAGGAGGAGCCGTGTGGATATTGGAGTTCATGGGATTGAGGATCACAGCCAGCCTGCCCTGCACCTGGCTGAGGGCGGGCCCTGCAGAGCCTTGTCCTTCAGGTGTGGCTGAGGTGAGAAGCAGGGCCAGGCTGCCCGTACTTGCTGTGTGCCAGCTGGCCCTGCCTGGCTGCTGCTGGCAGTGCTGGTGCTGCTCTGCACCTGGCTTAGAGTCAGCCTCTTGGTTGGAACACACAGGTGTGTCCAGCTCTGCCCTGGGATGGGAATTGTGGACAGCACTAGTTCTAGCCAGGACAGTGGGGGCTGTTTGCACTGAGTACACCAAGTGTGTGAGGCATAGTAGGTGTTAGTTCAGATTAGATGACCTCCACAGGAACAGTAGCTCAGTCTTTGTGACATATCCCCTCTGGTCTGGAGTGGCCACCATGGTGGATGGTACCTTTTTCATCTTTGGTGGTGCTGCTAGAGATGGAGCCAAGGGCCGCCTGTATGCTGGTCAAGTGCTATACCACTGAGCTATGTCCCCAGCCTTTTTAGTTTGTGAGACACCTTGCTAAGTTGCCAAGGCTGGCCTCAAACTTGAGCTCCTCCTGGCTCAGCCTCCTGAGTAGTGGGAATTACAAGCATGTGCCATGGTGCCCAGCTGGGTGGTGTGCTTTGAAGTGCTCACAAGCCTGCCTAGGTTGGGCCCCTTGGCCCACAGATGTGCATGGGAAGCCCTGAGCCAGGGCCCCAGCTGCCCAAGGTATGCTCAGGCGCAGTGTGGATGGTGGCACTTGGCCCTTCTTCCTGTGTTTGCTGAGTGGTCCTGACACCCACACAGTCCCGTCCTGGCTTTCAGGCCTCGTGTTTCAAAGGCTCATAAAGGAAGTGTTGAATCCTGTGGAGAGAGAATGTGTGTGCTTGAAGAATGAAAAGAGGGTGTGGAAGCATTCCTGTAGCTTTCTTTGATCTGACAGTGTATTTTGCTGAGGTGTGAAGTTGCATGCTCCTTGCTTTCCCAGTATGAACTGCATGTTGGACTACATGGTGCCCTCACTGTGCTTGGGACAGATGGTCATGAGGGATGCCTCCAGGGCAGCAGTTGGGGACAAATGCTCCGGAGAGCTCTGGAGAGGCCCCACTCTTGTTTCAGCTTCAGCCCTGTTCTTGTTTCCCAGGCGTCCTGATCTGACCTCACGGGTGGCAGCCTGTCCCACTGGGGAAGGTGACCACTGTGTGTGTCCCCTCGTGGTGTGCCTCTCTCCAGCTTGCTGTTATTTGTCTCCCACTGTTTTGGTCTCTTGCTTAAGAACTGGTGGCCTTGGTGGCTGCTAACACTGAGGGGACCCTGAGTGGCACTGGAGCTGTGTGTGGGGCCAAGATGCTGGCTGTGTGCTGGGTCTCTCCGAGTGAGGTGGTCCAGTCTGCCCACACCTGGGCTGGAGAGCTCAGGGCCTGTGAGGCCCCGTTTTTGGTCACTGCACATCAACCTGGCCCCTGCACAGGCAGCATCTCAACTTCAAGGAGCTGGAGCCTGGGGGGTAGCGGAGTTCAACTGCTGGAGCAGCCTTGAGGATGTGGGGGCCCAGCAGCTGCTTTTGGTGTTCAGTAACCCCAGCCTGGCTTCCTGGCAGTTCTCAGCTTCAAGGATATTGCTGCCATTGCCTCCTCTCCTGTTCTCTGCCCACTTTTGGAGCTGGCCTGTGGTGGCCTCAGATGGCTGCTTCCAGCGAGGCCTCTGGGCCTCTGCCCTTTATCTGGGAGGACCTGTACTAGAAGTTGCAGGAGAGCGCATGCTGGGTAGTTTTCAGAGTGGGACGGATTTCTCAGGCAGGCATGTCCATAACATTTTGTGCACACGAGACTCAGTATGTGGCAGAAAGTGTGCTCTGTGTAGTCATGGGACAGGTTTTCTTCGCAGAGACACGCAGCCCTGAAGAGCCTGTGGAGATGGGTTGTCCCCCTGTGAAAATGGACACATAAGCCTAAGAGTTAGCTCAAGCCCAGCGATGGCCGGGGCCGCCTGACAACCGATGTTCCCGTCGGTGTGAATGGAGGCAGGATCTCAGCCATGGTCACATTCATCACTGAAAAGCTGCAAAACCAGAGTCTGGATGACCTCACCTGCAAAACCCACGAGGCTGGCCCGGTGAGTCGGCTTGGGGACCAGAGACAGAGTCTGCCATGAGGAGTCTGGGATGTGAGAGGCTGGGTGGGGGTGTCCGACAGTGCATAGTGTGTGAGCAGGCCTCAGAGCCATCAGCGTCATCGCTGCAGAAGTAACCAAACTTGTACTGGGAAGCTGACCACATGTGGGGCTCAAACATTGCCAGTGCGTGTGTGGACATTTGGCTGCCTTCACTCTTTGGTGTTGTGGGTGACTCTGCTGTGAACATACATATGTGTTTGTGAGTAGACACGTGTTGTCATTCCTGGGGGCCTTGCTGGCTCTTCACAATGTGAAGATGGCCAACCTGTTTTCCACAGCAGTTGTGTCCCCCCGCAGGGCATGAGAGGTCGATTTCTCTACACCGTCTTGGCACACTTGTTACCATCCAGCTTTATGATTGCAGCAGTGCCAAGGGTGTGAGGCCCATCTCATTGTGGCTTATTGTCTTTGTTTTTGTGATTCTGGACATCGAACTTAGGACCTTGTGCCTGCTAAGGGAGCTCTGCCACTGAGCCACATCCCCAGCCCTCAGGTGGCTTTCTGTCTGTTTTGAGACAGGGTCCTGCTGAGTAGCTGAGGCTGGCTTCAAATTCCCAATCCTCTGACCACTCCCGAGTGCTGGGACTGCAGAGCCCACGTCCCAGGCCCGGCTCTCCACGTGGTTTTCATTTGCATTTCCCCAGTGACTAGCGATGAGCATTGCTCATGTGTCCATTGTCAGCCGACTGACCTTTCTGGAAGAATATCCAGTGGGACCCTTGATTCATTTACAGATAGGGTAAATCTTTATTGTTGATTTGTGGGTGGTTCCTTATATATTCTGGATCTGGTGCCTTACAGATGCATGATTCGTAACATTTTCTCCCATACAGGGCATTTTACTCCCTTGATATTGTCTATGACACACAGAAGTTTTCATTTTGATGAAATCCATTTGATCTATGTTTTCTTCTGCTGTATATACTTTTAGGGTCATATTCAGGAATCCTGTGCCAAATGCAAGGTCACAAAGATTTATTCCTACACCTTTCTATTTTCCAGGACTGGGAAATTGAAAATTAAACCCAGGGTCTTCATACTGAGTTACAATCTCAGCTTCTTTTTTAATTTTTGAGACAGGGTCACCCTCAGTCATTAAGTTGCCTAGGCTGGGCTTGAATTTTCCTACATCTGCCTCCCAGCATGCTAGGATTATGGGTGTGCACCATCATTCCTGGCTATTCTCTTCGAAGAGATTATGGTTTTAGCTTTTACATGTAGGTCTTTGACTAATTTTTGCATGTGGTATGCAGTAAGTGTCCACTTTTGTATTTTTGCATGAGAACACGTTATTTCTTGAAGAGACTGTTCCTTCCCATTGAACTAGAAAAGAATTTTGGCATCCTTGTCAAAAACTCCTTTTTTTTTTTTTTTTTGGCAGTACTGGAGATTGAGCCCATAGGCATTCTGCCATTGAACTATATCCCTAGCCCTTTGAAAAAAGTTTTTTATTTTGAGACAGAATCTCACTAAGGTACCCTACCTGGCCTTGAACTTGAAATCTTCCTGTTACAGCCTGTGTAAGTGCAGGGATTACAGGTGTGCACAACTATACCCAGCAAAAATTTATATTTTTAAAGCTAAATCTTTGAAACTTAGTGTGTATTGTACTTTTACAGAAATCTTATTATTTTTATTCTTTTTTACTTTGTTTATCTTTTTATTTTTTTCATCTTTTTGAGACAGGGTCTTGCTATGCAGTTCAGGCTGGCCTTGAGCTCACTTTGTAGCCCAGGCTGGTCTTAAACTTGCAACGATCCTCCTGCCTCAGCCTCCTGAGTGCTGGGATTATAGGCATTTGCCACCACGCCTGGCTAGAAATCTTAATTTGTTTGTGTTTTGACTTTTTGAGACAAAGTCTTGCTTCATATGTTAGAACTCACAGTATAGCCCAGGCTGGCTTCAAACCTGTAGTGATCATCCTGCCTCAGCCTCCTGAGTGCTAGGATTAGGCCACCACACCCAGCTTGCAGATCTCAATTTGGACAGTAAATTTTTATTACAAAAAGTTAAAAATAATACAAACTAATTGCAGAAATAATTGTTCCTGTACCATGGGGCTGTGTGGGTTGGTGCGGTTCAGACCCAGCAGTGGCTGCAGCATAGGACTGAGGGTGAGTCTGACTTTGTGTAAGGTAGTTTAAGTTGAAGCAGCTGTGTGGTGGCAGCTGTGGTGTTGGATGGCACAGACAGTGCAGGCTCCAGTTTTGCAATAGCAATGTTCGGCTGACTGAGGCCTACTTGGGTCCCTGCCATGCCCACACTGTGCTCCCCTCCTCCCTCCCTGGCGGTCCTTGATCTTCTCTGCTCTGTGGTGCCTCATTTCTGATCCGAGTCACATAACACGTGGCCTCTGGGGTTGGCCCTTTACTTCCTGTGAGCGCCCGAGCACCCCCGGGCCTGTGTAGTCTCCAACTGGCTCTGCATATAGTGGGGCGTGTGTGTGTGTTCCATGGTACAGGGAGTGGCCTGTGGTGTGCAAGCACCTGCGAGTCAGTGCCCCACAGGAGAGTGGTTGAGTTTTGACACCCCATGGTGGCCCTAGTGGGACTTGGCAGGCTACTTGGTCTGGAGCTTGGATTCGTGTGATCATGCATAGCTTCAGCTTAGAAGAGGGGCTGCACCCCTGGAGGAGGATAGGCTTGCTGGTGGCTGGTGACCATAGGTGTGGCAGCTGGTGAGACAGTGGCCCATGGCCACAGTGACTCTGGAGCAGGGATGGTGAGGGCCGGGCGCTGGAGAGTGTTGGAAGGGGGGTGGTCTGTTGGGGGCCATCACGTAGGTCAAGGTCTGGGGCAGTCCTGAGACTAGGAGACAGTGGCCAGGAAGTAGCAGTGGCTCCTGAATTTCATCTGTGAACTGGGGCTTCTGTCTGTGCCCAGGCCTGTTTTGTTGCTGGGCTGTGGACCGGGTACTTGCCCCTTGGGACACAGGTGGTGGTGAGGGAGAAGGAGTTGCCTTGGTGCGCTTGTGCGACATGGTGCTTGAGGGGATGAGTACAGGGCCAGGGCCGCAGCCTTTGGATGGAGAGTGCAGGATATCTGAGAAGAGCCTTCCTGGAGGGAACCTGATGGCAGCTGGAGGCCTTGTGGCTGGGCTTAGAGCAGAGCAGCCATGCTTCAGGCCCCAGCTGTGGGGTGCATGGAGGCTGAAGGGAGCAGAGAGAGCTGCAGGCAGCCAGGGCCACCAGTGTTGGGGCTGGTCCACGTGGGTAGACGGGCTGGAGGGTCACGAGCTAGATGTCAGTGGAGGGGAGAGGAGACGTGTTGGGCTAGAGTGGGGCAAGAAGTGCGGGAGGTGCAGCGTGCATCGTTCTGAGTGGCTGTGGCATGGGCAGGTCCCCGCCCAGCTATGCAGGCACAGGCTCGGACTGGCTCACAGTAAGCACGTGGTCTCAGCACAGAGAGGGTGCAGAGACTGCTCCTGGGGGAGGTGGCCAGTGTGCAGCCCTCTGCTCTCCTGCAGTCCCAAGTGTCAGGTTCTAGTGCACACGTAGCTGCTCACCAGCATGGACCCACACCCCTCAGTGAAGTGAGAAGTCATTGCTGGGACGTGTTTGGCTGTGCTGTGAGGCCCTCCCACATGTGTGCTCTGATGTGGTCACCCCAGGCCAGGTGTATGCCTGTGACCTCCTTGAGCCACCTGTGGAAGTCACTTGAGCAGCCAAGAAGGCCCAGTCCTTGCCAGGGTCTGTCAGGTGTGTGGGGTGCTGCTCTCGGGTATGCTGGACACAGCCCTGGGGAAGTGGCTGTGGGCAGGCAGTGCCCGTGGTCCTGGTGCTTGTTCTAGGGAATGGTTAGCTGGGTGGCCCCACAGAGCGGGTGGAGGCTGCTGGCCTCAGGGCTGGAGATTTCCAGCCACAGAGGAGAGGTTGGCAGCTGCCCTGACAATTTGCCTTATGGCATGAATTGCCCTATGGGTCCTGTGCCAACTGGAGTCTCTAGTACTGTGCAGAGCTGCTTTCTCCTCTGTTTGCCTGAACTTGAAGGTCACCTGTGCCTGTGCCCATGCCAGTCGCTGTGTGGCCAGGGCTTGCTCCATACAGCTGTCCTGGCAGAAGTGGGGCGTACTGCTCAGGATGGCCTGTCTGCCTGCACAGCATGCCTATCAGTGTGTCTTTCTCTGGGTCACAAACCCAACTTTTATTCTTCATGTGAAGCATGAGACTTCATGGGGCAGAATTATGGCCCAGGAAAAAGCCCCGTGGAGTTGGCCGGTGTGCCTTCCTGTCAGCCCTCAAAGCTGCCTCTGCAGTGGTCTTGCCTTCCTGGAGGAGGGGCCCAGCTGTCTGGACCTGTTCCAGGACTGGGCACCCTTGCAGCCTGGTTTGGGGCATGGGTCTTGTGTCAACTATCCCAAGCAGGAGGCCCCCCCTGCATTGCAGAGTGGCGGGGTGTGAAAGCCGATGTGGCCCAGGCTGGCTAAGGAGGGCAGAGGAGTGAAGGCAGAGCGTGTGTGGCCCTGAAGAGTGGCATGCAGTGACTCAGTGGGTCTTGTTAGGTTTTAAAAACCTCTATTAAGAAATATGTACCAGAGTCCAGTACTTCTTATTTTTATCATCAAAGAATGTGTTAGGAGAAATAGAATTTATTGCAGTGATAACAACATGGAGCTATTTCTTCTCTGCGCATTTTCATGTGTACGTTGCAGCCCTGAAACTTCTCTTATCACTTCCAGTGTTCTGCTGAGAGACTGACCAGGAGTGGCCACTTGTTCCCTTTGGAGGTCAGTGGTAAGTGTCCAGGAAGCCTGGGGCCTTCTCAGGGCTGCACAGGCTGCAGATGAGCAAGGCAGGAGGGGCCCAGGCCAGGAGGGGTCTCAGCACTGGGAACAAGGTTGGCCTCCGTGTGAGGCCTGGGGCCTGTTGTATCCTCCACGTCACTGCTACTGTCTTCCCCACCAAAGGGCCATGGCCAGGCGTGAACTAGGCAGGATTGGCCAAGGTTAGGCCCAGGGCATCCTCTCTTTTCTCTGCCAGTGGTGATGTGCCTGGGCCGGGGTACGTCTGGAGGCATGAGGTCCACCCTGTAACATCCTGTGACCATGGAGAGAGAGGTTGGTTGCAGCACTTTGTTGTACATGCAGGGCAGCCACAGCCACTGGAAGTCTGCAGGGAGCTGATCCTTGATGCCTGCGTGGGGGCTTCTGGGGTCCCATGCTCCTGGTACTCCAGCATCCCCAGTCCTGTCCAGCCAAGCCAGGGTTGGGTCACTGTAGCTCTGACTGGCTGGTGTCTGCAAGCAGCCTGTGAAGGTGGCATGGCAGGAGGCTCCTGGGCTGCTAAGGTGAAGGATTATCACGAGTGGGTGGAAACAGGAAGTGTGAGTGCCAGCCAGCCAGTCCCCAACCACTCCCTGGCCTCCTGGGGCCCATTCTTTGCATGCGCCAGACTGAGACTGACAGCCTTCATCCTGGCTCAGAGCCCTTCAGGGCTCCCACACTCCTCACTTCCTGCCTTCTGACCTCAGCCCCATCCTGCCTCCCTGGGATGCCCTGGCATGTGCCTTTCACCAGTGGTGGGCCTGCCTCCGGGCAGGTTGAAGGGCGTGCAGGCTTACGGCCCAGCCACCTCTATGTGAGGAGATATACACTGCTGAGTCTGCATATGAGCCACTCCAGGTAGCAGTACCCACCACTGCTGGGCAGGAGGCGCAGCAGCCAGGGCTGTGGGGGCTGTGATGGTTCACGTGAGGTCTGGGCATCAGGCAAGGCCTGTGTACAGGCAGATGTGGGGGAGCCAGGGCCCTGGGCTGCTGAGGCTAGGTGTGTTCCTGGGGCTCAATGCCCTAGGGATGCCTGGCCTTCCTGGAGTACTGAGGAAGAAGGCCTCTCCTGGGCCACTCAACGTATGATGCTGTCACGCTCATGGTGTCTCAGGGGCCTCCAGCCACCTGCAGCCATTGCCACCTGCGACACAGTTGAGGATGTGCAGGCTTGGGAGTGTTGGGGTCTCTACCATCAGTCCATGGCCCACTGTGGCTGTGGGCAGCGGGAAACCCTGGTGGGTGGGCAGGTGGGCATCCAGGCCAGGCTTGTGCCCCATGGGTGTGGTGAGGTGCAGGTGTCCACAAGGGGAGGCATAAGGGGCCTGTTCTGCCCTGGCTGTCAGCAGCACTTTGAGGATCCTGGTGGTGAGGGCGTACCTCTCAGAGGCTAGTGGGGACAGAGGAGAGGTGTTTTGGTGACACAGGGTGACAACAACATGGGAGTGAGGGCAGAGTGCAGTTGGTACTTCCAGGAGCCTCCGGGGTGACACTGGCACTATTCCCTGAGAGCGGAGCATTCTTTCGGGAAGTGGAGCCAGCTCTAGCCGACTGCTGACCAGGGTGGTTTATTGGATGCTGTGCCTGTGCCTCTGCAGGACCTGAGGGTCTCTGAGCCAGGCGGTGGGCTTGTGCCCTGGCCTCACCTCACGTGTGTTTTCTCCTGCTTACCCTTTGTCTCCTCAGTGGACAGGAGCCCCTGGAAGGCCTTTCGAGGAGGATGGCCCACTGGAAGGCGGGCAGCTGCAGGCCCCTCCCACCCCTTCCTGCCAGCTCCCTGTGGTGCTGCTCAGGCCCAGGGACTCCAGTGGCGGCCAGATTCCCCGGGCCTGTGCACCGGCCTGGGTGTGGGCAGTGCTGTGGACCTCCAGGGGAGCACGGGGCCACCCACGGCGCCACCAACCAAGCGACACTGCCGGTCCTTGTCTGAGCCAGAAGAGCTGGCGCGTTGCCGGTCGCCGTGGCGCCCTGGTGGCTCCAAGGTCTGGACTCCGGTCTCCAAGAGGCGCTGCAACAGTGGTGGGAGTGCCACGCTGCAGCGCTGTAGTGGCCTTGGGGGTGCAGTCCTGCCCAGGAGCCCCGTGTCGCCTGCTGGCCCCACGTCACCCCTGGCGCCCCGGCCAGCCTCAGCCAGCAGCGGCTTTGTGGACAGTAGTGAGGGCAGCACCGGCTCGGGCCCTTCCTGGCATCCCACAGGGCCCTGTCCTCTGTCCTCGAGGCGCCGCCTGTCCCTCTCACAGGAGCACCTTGTGGATGCTGGTGCCCGCCTGCCCTCGGCCAGTAGCACCCCCACATCCACACCTGAGCTTGGCCGGCGCCACGGCCTGCTGCGGTGCCGGTCGCAGCCCTGTGTGCTGGGCAGGAGGAGGAGCCGGCGCAAGCGCAGGCGGGAGGAGGACACCAGGTGGACACGCCCATCCTTGGACTTTCTCAAGATGACTCGGGTGAGGCTTCACTGTGGTTTCTGGGTGTGGGTGGAGCTCACAGTCAGGTTGATGCTGGTAGGTGGTGGGGCAGCTTCTGTGAAACCAATCTCATCCCCCTACGGGGTGGGGTGGGGTCCCACCTGTCCCTTCTGAGCCCCCAGGGCCAAGCCCTGCTTGAGGGCTCCAACCCAGGCAAGGCATGAGGAGCTGTGCGTGGGTTCTGCTGAGGCATGGGGCTGCCTTGAGTGGCTCACCTTGAGGAGCCCTTAGTGCCTTGCTGAGGTGATGTGAGACATCCTCAGGAGCCCCGCCAAGGTTGAGCCTGGCTAAGCCACACTCAGCGCAAGCTGTGTGGAAGGGAGTACCCTCAGGACATCCGTGCCCCTATGGGGACACTTGCTTTTGAGGGAGCTTTTGAGTCTTGTCTGGAAGGAGGCTGGCACTGGGAGGTCCTGGCGTCAGTGCCTCTCCACCTGCTCTTTGTGAGCTCTGAGGAGTCAGAGGAGAGGAATGGAGTGGTGGCCGGGGTTCCTGGTGTGCTTGCTTCTGGGTAGGGCCGTTCCACTTGGGTGTGTTTAGGCTGGGTGGGGAAGGAGGTGGGAGTAGGCGAGCCTGAGCAGCACAGGCTGAGGCAGCTCAGTGCCCGCCTCCCTTCAGTTGCCTCAGTAACTTGGGCCTTGGGCCTGAGCTCTCCTTGGTCTTGTGCCCTGTGGGGGCGCGTGTTGTACCTGTCCTGTGGGCAGCTACTTGAGTCTGTTGAGCCCTGTATCAGGCCCTCCTGGCCAGCAGTTACTGTGGGATGCGGAGGGCTTGGTGGAGGCCTGCTTGGGCCATGGTGAGGTTACTGTGGGGCTGACTGATGCTCCAGAGGACTTTTCCTGGTGGACACCAGGTGGACACGTTATGGGGCTCGGGCTGGGGTCAGGAAGGCGGCCCATCAGTGACACAGTGAGCTGCCCTCTGCTGGCAGGACAGGGGTGAGGGAGAGGCTGCCTGGAGGGGAGCGAGGGACATGCTGGTGACAGGGACAGCCCTGCCTCTGGTCCCTTGGGAGGAAAGAGGGTGGTTAGGGTGATTGTGGCTGGGGTCAGGACAGGGGCAGGGGTGTCCCACAGGGTGAGCTGTGGCCAGGGCAAGGACTTGACGTGCCCCAGAGTGTGGCACACTGTTCCCCACCGGGGGCAGGCTGCTGTGGAGCACGGGGATGCATGAGCAGCTCTCGGCCTCCTGAATGTGCTTTGCTAGCTTGGAGTTTCTCCCAGGAGGAGCTCGGGCCTGATGCTGTGACTCCCAGAGCCCAGAGGGCTATGGATAAGCAGAGCCCTTGGCTGTGGACACCTTGAGTTCACATAGCCCCGCAGGAGCCCTGGGTGGTGATCAGCCCTGCTGCCTGGGTTCTCTGCCCACCCTCTCCCTCCCCTGCCCAGTCATCTGCCCAGGCTCCACTCACCACCCGACACCATCCTCCTCCGTTTCTTCTCCCCTGAGCTTCTTAGCCTGCATTTAACCTGATGCCACCAAAGGGAGACTGAAATGGAGGTACAGGGTCATCAGTAGTCATGGCCTGCTGTGTGACAGTCAGCGGGAAGCATCACAGCTTTGGCCCCCTTGGTCAGAGATGTTGGAGGCTTGGCACCAGCTGGGTCTGTGGTCCTGGGGGCTCACTGTGCTGCTGGACCTGCTTCCCGCTCCCTCCCATGGCTCCTGTGCCTGCCATGTGCCCTTCCTGGGGGACTGCGTAGATCCCACTTTTCCCAGGGTTAGTGTCCAGGAGGGGCAGCGAGAGGGATGTGTCACAGGTATGACCCAGTCCTTGTGCCCAGCAAGAGCATTCAGGCCAGACTCAAAAGCCTCTTCTCTGCAGGTGCCTCTGAGAAGCTGGGCATCTACATAGGTGCTGACTGCAATGCTAAGGCTATAGAGGGCACAGGTCACACGTGCAGCTACTGCAAGTACCTCATGGCAACTTTCCCTTTGGTACATTGCTAGATTTTGGTATTTTAAGATAATCCTGTCGAAAGTGTGCTGCTTATCAGAGTTAAACTCCTGTGTTTTCTGCTCCACAGAGACATACACATGAGCTCTCATGTTTCTGAGACCCAGTATACTTTCTCAGCCAGGATACACATGGCAGGCATCGTGGGCGGTGTGGGAAGGTTCAGATGTGTGTTCTGCACACCACATAAACTCATGAAGCTTCCATTCCCTGAATCTTACTGGCATACTTTTTCATAATTAAAAAACTAATACCTCAAGCTACTAAAAGCAAAGTAATGAGCGGGTGTGTCCCCACTTCAAGATTAAGTGGCTGACTTTTGCCATATTTTCTTAAAGAAGTAATACAGGAAGTGTTCACGGCATCTCTCTCCTCAGGACACAGGCCATGTAGGGGTGTTTGTTGCATGTGATGACTCTGGTTTTGTAGTTGTTTGGGGATGGAGCCCAGTACCCCGCCAGCACCCCTTCCTCCTTGCTGGGTCCCAGCCCCAGCTTGCTGTCCCTTCTGATTGGAAAGCGGGGAAGGGGATGTGGCATGGGGCACCTTTGTGTGTATTCTCTGCCGATTGTTCTAAATACGCAGGAGTAGGACATAATAGCATCCAAGCTATTCAGTGGCTTGATCTGAGCTTTGGTGGTGGGGTTTCAGATATTTGAGGGAGGCAGTGGCAACAGCTTGCACACTGGGGTGTCCTGTGCAAGTAAGAGAGGCACCCTTCAGATCTGTGTCTCTTTCGTCCCCTGAACCTGCCCCAGGCCAGGAGGAGTCACCTCGACATGGCGCTGACTGTGGGTGCTGACCGCACCTCGCATGTGGCTTCCCCAGTGCTCACTTGCACATCAGGCGTCTCGGTGGCTCTGGAGCACAGCAGGGCTCCTTGCCAGCACTGGATCTGGGTCTGGGCGTGTTGGCCACGTGGTGGGTGAGGAGCCAGTGTGCACCTGGGTGCTGCAGAGGCCCAGCGTTGGAGCATGGTTCCTGCATCGTGGAGTCGGGAGCTTTCACTTTCTGGACAGAAGCAGCACAGCCGAGAGCCACGCTCTGTTCTGCAGCCTGGCTGTAGAGGGAGGGAACCCGGCCCTTTCTAGGGTGAGGGTAGCTCTGACCACCTGCTCCAAACCCCTATACCCAGTATTTTTTACAGAAAACATTTAGACGTATGTGTTTCTTTGGCAAAGCTGTTTCAGAGTTGTAATTGTGACGTTACTGGGAATGTGCAGAGCATGGGGAGGGTGAGGGCAAGGGCACAGGTGCAGAGGCAGGCATGGCTTGCAGAGGTGCACTCTCAGGCTTGGGGCCATTCTCCAGCAGGGAGGAGCTTGAGAACCCAGGGCCAGCTGGACTGGACTCGGGTGCATGGAGTGTGCATAGGGCTGTGTGTTCACCAGGCAGACGGCCCTGTCCACAGCGGTCAGAGTTAAGAGGAGGTAGGTTCGCCTCCCACAGTCATGCCCCAGGCCCTGGGAGCAGTTTTCTTCCTGCTCACTGTTGACAATAAAAACCCCAGCACTTACACCAGTTCATAGCACCTGGATGACTGCTGCTGAGGTGTAATTCTGCAGACTAGGAAGTGTGTACACAAAGCTCTCCTAGCCTAGGAGCTGGAGTCCAAGGTCAAGGTGCTGACACAGAGGTGCTGACAGGTTCCCTTAGGGCCTGATCTTTCTTCCAAGATGGTGCCATGTTACTGCCTCCTTCAGCAGGGATAGTGTTGTGTGCAGAAGGGATGGAAAGACAAAGTGGACCTTAGCTAGTTCCCTCACCTCCACACAGGAGGGCCCACTTGTGACTCAGTCCCCTCCCAACAGCACCACGGTGGGGACTGAGCCTCAGCACGTGAGTCAGAAGGGTACAAGTTCAGACCACTGCAGGGACGTCAAAAGCACCAGCATCCAGAGGCTAAGCCAAGGGGCTAGAATTTACAGCTGCTCTGCTTCCTGTCAGAATTTGCCCAGCGAGACCAAGTGCCGCGGCTGAGGGCCGTGTCTGGATGTCCCTGCAGGACATGAGTTACCAGCCTGTACGCTTTCTGGTCAGGGTGCAGGGGCGAGCAGCTTCGCTGAGGTTGTGGCAGCAGGTCCTTCTCCATCTGGGCAGAACCAGCTGGACCCCTGGCTGCCTTTCTTTTTTCCTGTGGTTCTGGGGATGGGATCCAGGGCCTGGCTCATCCTAGGCCAGCACTGTGCCAGTAAACTCCATCCCCAGACCTTTTAAAATTTTACTCGGAGACTGTGATCTCACTGAGATGTGATCTCATCAGTGAGATATCTCACTGATATCTCACTCAGATATCATCTGGGACTGTAATCTCCTCTCAGGAGGCTAAAGGCCTGACAGTGGACCCAGGCCTCTTACCCAACTGCTGCTGTTCACGCTGCCAGCTCCTGCACCTTTGGGGACACTCTGGAGGCCCTGGGGCTGTCCACCCGTCCCTCCTCCGCCTGCCTTGTGGAGCCCTGCACATCCCACCATGGGACAATGGCCTGGCGTGTGACCTTCTGCAGCTGAGTCCCAGGGTGGTGCTGGCCCCTGCCTTGGAGCTGACACACTTTGTCACCATCACACTTACCCAAATTAAAATAACAAAATAATTGATGGGAAAATAAAAAGGTTAAAGCAGAGAAGATATCTAAAAGTATTTATTCAACACTGGAGGAAACTAAACATAAACTGACAAAAAGTAGGTGTAAGCTGCTGCTCAGGCCATGCGCCCTGCACTTCTGAATGGGGACTGTGCCTTCAAAAGCGGGATGTTGGCTTTTAACCCTGAAGCTGTGCCTCATGTCCCTGACTGCCCGCTGCTCCAGTGCTGAGGCTCAGCTTGGCCAAGTGCCCTGTGTCCCTTCAGGCTGCTCATCTGCCCTTGGGTCATGGGGTGTTGCTTTTCTTGGGTATTGTGTCATATTTCTGGGGGTACCTGAAATATGATAATCTGTGGGCCTTTTTGTTACCTGTGGGCATTTCTGTTAGATGCTCACATTGCCTGCTGGCTGGGCTCCTTTGGACTCGAAGGTGGCACTCCTGGTGCCCCTTACCCCGGCACTGGATGTAATTCCTTAGCCTCTGAGCCTTGCAGTCCTCCCGCAGTCTGTGGCCCCCCTCTCGGAGACCTCATGGTGCACCTGGTTGTGTCTCATGTCTTGAGGAGTATCCTGAGGGTGAAGGTCCCCCAGAAGACCTTGTCATCCCCTGCCTAGAGCGTGGGGCCACATCATGCTGGGCACTGCGTGTGGCTCAGGTGTTCGCTCAGCCCCTGCCATTCCTGCCCCATCTCATTGGAAGCCTTCACATTCATACTTTCCCCAGGTGAGCTGCACTCCAGGGACTTTGGGCGGAGCTTTGGAGGTGGATGTCTTTTTCACACAGGACGAGCATACACATGTGCCTGTGGACATGCCTCCTGGCCACCTCTGCCCTCCCTGGAGTGTGGACCATCTCACGTTCCTCAGGCCTCTGTGGCTCAGAACAGGTCTTTCTCCTCGGCAGCTGGGAGAGTGCTGAGTTTGCCCAGCTGTCTGTCCGTTTCTTGGCCAGGTCTGGGGCCCTGGCTTGGCACTCAGATGTGCAGACTGCACCCCAGGCACCACCCCCATCTGGCACGAGCTGGGGACAGCGTTGCTCGCACTGAGTGGAGCTTGCACAATTAGAGGAGCACAATTGCCTTAACTTGGCAAAGCCGGAGTCCTTGGCAAGTGAGAGGTTGGTACAGACGTGGCTGGGTGCTTGTGGAAGCAGTGTCAGGGTGGCTGTAGGAGGCTGTGCATTTTTCTTTCAGAATCTCACCAGCTACATTGTTACTGCGTGAACCCAGCCATGGTGGTGCATGCCTGTCATCCTGGCACTCTGGGAGGTGCTGGGGGCTTAACACCATGCCAGCTGTCTTGGGTGGGTAGTCTTGCCCACAGACTGTCATGCACATAGCTCCAAATACCTTCTGAGGTTCAGAGCCTGACTTGGAGCTGGGGCCAAGCCTTTGCGTGGTGAGTTCCTGTGTGCCGTCTGCTTGGCTGTGGGAGCACCAGGCACCAGCCTTGGGCTGAGCTGTGGGGTGAGGAGGCCAGGCATGCAGGCAGGGCAGGTGGCAGTGGTGTGACCTGTGGCCCCCATGACCTGGGCCCCGCTTCCTTGCAGTGCCGTAGCGTGAGTGCTGTTCTTCGTGCCGCAGGTGCTGTCTTTGTGGAACAGTGTGTTGAGTAGCTGAGGCTGTTGAGGCTGCCGAGTTTTTCACCAGAGTTGCACAGCTGTGGTCAGGGTGAGTCTGGTGTCACAACAGGAGGGTGACAGGACCCGGCAGTGGCTCCTGCACATTTTAGGCCCGTGTCTGTCCACAGGGCTGCTTCTGTACTGTGAACCAGAATTTAAGACCTAGCTGTTCAAGCCAGGTGTGGTGGCACATGCCCATAATCCCAGGACTCGGGAGGCTGGGGCAGGAGGGTTGTTTGGGGTTTGGGACCAACCTGGGCTACAAAGTGAGCTCAAGGCCAGACTGAACTGCAGAGTGGGACCCTGTCTCAAAAAGACGAAAAAAAAAAAAAAAAAAGATCTAGGTGTTCACCAAGTGGTTCCCCAGCTCAGCTGCATGTGCGGTGGGCACGGTGGCTCCAGCTTCTGGGCTCAGTGCCTGCACTGCCCTGCGGGAGCCTCACTGTCCTGCACGACACTGGACATGGGCCTCATCCTTCTACCGGTATGGAGTTTGCATATAAAAGAGACATGGATAATCAAGTTTACTTTGATTTAGAAAAAAAAGAACTTATGTGACAAAATGTAGCTGGTTGTATCTTGAATGATTTGGTTCTTTAGAATATCACTTCTCAAATATTTACGTTTTGATAGTTGAACAACAAAAAAAATGGCGGATTATCTTGTGGAAGCAAATAATTTCCTTAAAAGTACCAACTTCTAGGAGGCTCTCTAGCCTCCCTGGGACATGTGCGTGTTTACTTCACATTGCCCTGGGACTGTTTCCGGGAGTTTTGTAGCCAGAGAATAGATTTCCCATCCCTTGACCATGTGCTGCTCCTGGCTCTGAGGAGGATGCCATCTGGCTGCTGGGGGTGTGGGTGGTATAAGGAGCCAGTGTCACTCCTGTTCCAGTTGCATTGTCCACGTGGCCTGTCACTGTCTCCGGTGTCACAGTGCCCAGCACCCACTCCCATAGTCCCAGCCACGCGGTGATGTCTGCCACTTAGGAGAGCAGCCCAGCCTGAGCCTGAGCAGGTGGCACCCAGGCAGGGAGCCCAGAAGAACTGAGGCAGCCTGTGCACAGGGATGGTGGAGACGCCAGGCTCAGAGGTGGTGCCAGGGGAAATGAGACCAGGGCATGCCCAGGGCTGTGTGGTACAGCCTTGGGTTGGGTGGCATGTGGGAGTTGCGCCAAGGGGACAGGACTCCGTGGCTGGGAGAGCTTGGCGTGGGGCTGGAGACTGGATGCTGAATTGACGGGCAGAGCATGCAGGAGAGGGCAGCAACCCAAGGCCGAGGCCTTGCCGCCCGGGCTGCCTTGTGTGTGTGTCCGTGCTCCATGTGAGATGGAGAAGCTGTGCACAGGCTGTGGTTGAAGAACCCTGACCATCACAGGAGCGGGAGAGTGGGGGCTGGCTGAGGGGGAGGGACTTGGGGACAGGCCACGGGCGAGTGCTGAAGTCCAGGACTGGACATGAAGGCTCCTTGCCTAAGGCCTGAGGGAGCCGGGAGGAGCGTTGTCCTCATCCTGGTCCTCATCCTCGGGAAAGGTTGTTGGAAATGGAGAACGTGGGCCCCTCCCTGGCCCTGTTTGCTAAGTATGAGACTGGGCTTGTCTGGCATGGTAGTGCATGCCTGTCATCCTAGCACTCTGGGAGGCTGAGGCAGGAGGATGGTGAGTTGGAGTTCAACTTGGGAAACCTAGCAACACCCTGTGTCAAAAAATAAATGAAAAAGTCTGGGGATATAGTTCAGTGCAAAGGCCCTGGGTTCAATCCCCAGTACCTCCTCCTCACACCCAAAAAGGAAGAAAGACAAGAGAGGGCCCCAGAGTGCAGCCCACACTGAGTGCCCTGGGCACTTGGGTCTCACCAGATGTCAGGCCTGGCAAGCTGGGTGCCCTCGGTCTGAGTGGGACTGCAGCAGGTGGAAACCTACCCTAGGTGTTGGCCAGCGAGGCAGGGACTGGGAGAGTGGCTCTAGGATGCTGGCTCCGAAAGTGCAGGCAAGGGCCAGGTGCTGCCTGGCAACAGGCCATGGAAATGTGTTCAGCCTGTTTTTTCTGTTGCAGACTTTAAAGAACTCAAAGAGCCTCTGCTCGCTGGACTATGAAGATGATGATGAGGATGACACCCAGGCGAAGACGGTTGTGTCGTCCCCATGTGACTCACAGGGCCTTGTGGGCATTGTCACGCCCGGCTCCAGCCCAAGGGCCTCGAGGGAGCCTGAGGCTGTGGAGGGCGAGGGCGAGGGCGGGAGCAGTGGGGACCCCAGTGACTGGGACAGCGCTGGAGAAGAGGGCATCTTCCCTCTGGACCAGGGAGACCTGGACCTGGAGCAGATTGAGAACAACTGACCAGCCTGGCTGCTGCCTGCTCCCTCAGTGCAGAAACTGTTTCCTGCTGTTTGAACTTTGAGGCCTAATTTTGACTCAGTTTTTCCTAAAGAAGTATTTTGCATTTTTATGGCTTTTACAGTTCAGGGAGAGCTTCTCTATTTTGAAATGAATTTTCAGAGGGGCTGGGGATTTAGCTCAGCGGCACAGTGCCTGCCTGGCAAGTGCAAGATCGTGAATTCAATTCCCAGTACCGGGAAAAAAAAAAAAAGAATTTTCAGAAGGGCATTGTATTAAGTGCCAGTCACTCTGCGGTCCTTTTGTAAGAAGCCTACTGTGAGGAGCGGGTGTGGGTTGTGGCTAGGACCCTGGGGCTGGTGGTAGGTATCCTCCTCCTGGGCAGCCACAGCTTGGGGCCTGTGTGGGTGATTGTGCCCCTAGACCTGGTCATCCTGTGCTGGCTCAGGCTGCATGGCTCCCGGCCGGGGCGCGTGGTGCTGTGCAGGCTGGGCAGCAAGGATGCCATCCTGGAAGTGGCCCTCTGGCCAGTCTGTGGTGCCGCATCTGTGAGTTCAATAAAACACGTTGCTCTGCTTGGCCTCCCTGCTGGTCTGGGTTCCAAGGTGGGGACAGGTGCCCTGCAGGTCAGAGACTGCAGGGATTTCTACCAAGGCTTGACCTGAGGGACAGTGCAGAGAGGAAGGCGCAAGAGCAGTGAATCCACCGGGAGACAAGCCGCAGGGAGCAGTCATCTTAGTGGCTTGACCCGTGCAGGCAGAGCTGGGAAGGGAGTTTCCTCCCAGGGCCAGGTTCCCGGGGACCTGGTGTCCTGACACTGTGAGGTGGCCGTGGTGGCTTCTGTCCCATTACTGCCATGGATTGTTCTTTCAGAATCCAGGCTACTGCCTGAGGGGCCCTGAGCTTGCAGAGGTGCACAGAGGGCATCCTGGGAGGACGGTAGCAGCTCAGTGGATGTGGCTGATCACTTGAGGCCTCCTGGGCTCAGTTCCAGCACAGGCTATCCCCCAGTGGTCACCCCTCTGAGGTGGGCCCAGGGGCAGGGGTCTCCCACTCTGCTGAACCGGCACTGGGTGGCATTGGTGGTGGAGTCAGCAGCGACATCTCTGACCTCGCTGCAGGACCCTCCTGAGAGCCGCTGCCCTGTGTTCTGGTCTCCAGCACCACAAGGTGAGTCCCTGCCTTGCTTGGGAGTACCAGAGCCCCAGTTGTCACCGTCGGGCACAGCTCCTGAGCATCCAGCTTCCCCTGCCAGATGTTGCCCAGCTTGAGAGGTCCCCCAGCTCAGCCCCTGCCCAGGTGGTGGCCCCTCGTGGTTTGAACATCTGTCCTTGTGCCCTCCTGGGCGAGGGACTGGCAGTCTTGTTCTGTGCCTCACCAGCACTGCCAAGGGGCCACATCATGGCCTGGCCACATGCATGGGCGCTGGGCTTTCCCTGTGGAGCCTGCACAGCCTGGTGCCTTTCAGACACTCCCCTGGCTTCTTGGCCTCTGGCCCTGGCCCTGTCCACGGCCCTGTCCATGGCCCTGTCCATGGCCCCTTCCTCTGCACTCCAGGCCCGCTCCCTCCCTGTCTCCAGAACTCTCCATCTCTGCAGATGGAGCTCTGCCTGTTGAGCCCAACCCCACCTACTCTGTCCCTGGGCCCGGGTGGACAGGGCTGAGCACTGGTGCTGCGTCTGTCTTGTTTCCTCAGCAGGATGTTCCCAGTCCAGCCCTGCCACAACTGTTGGCTGTGTTCCTTTCCAAGGGCAGTGCTGTCCTGCCGGGTTGGGGCCGGCTTTGCTTGCTCTCTCTTGGATCCTCCAGAGGTGGGTAGGACCCCTCCCACCCTGAGGCCTCCTCACTGCCCTGAGGACAGGGATGCCTGGCTCTGCTCTTGGCCCTGCCTACACCTGCATCCTACGGCGTTGCAGCCATGTAGGCTTTGCTCACGCTGCACTCTCCAGACGGGCTCCTCCTTGCTCAGCTTCAAGCCATCCTCTCAGACGGGCCCACTCCACACCTGGTGTCTGCTCTGCAGAGCAGCCCTGTTCCTCAAGTGGCCCACAGGAGGCACACAGCAGGATGTGTGTGTGGCCTGGGGACAAGCCGCAGCAGGGCGGTCTCTGCAAAGCTCTGGCGGAGCTGACCTCGTGCTCCCCGCCACCACCACCACCACGTTGCCACCTTCATCTGAGAGTCCAGCTGTCTGCCCAGGACCCTCCGGCAAGGTGTGGGAGATGGGCGCACCTGAGGCCTGAGCCAGCAGTCCCCACAGTGTCCTGGGAGGTGGTCGGCAGGGTCTGGGGAGTCCTGGTCCAGAGCAGCTTTCAGAGCAGATGTCTGCAGAGGCTGTGCAGCCGGAGGCAGCTCAGCCATGTGGGCAGCCCTGCAATGCCCTCTGCTGATGGGAGCCGAGGGTGAACTGATAGGGGGACGCTTTGGGTCTGCTGGGGTGGGGGACGAGGCCTGGGCATGACTCTTCTGCAGTGCTGCCCTCCTGTGAACTCGGGGTCCTGTCTGTCCCTGCTGTCTCCCTGGCCTGGCCCATGCTGCCTGCATAGGTTCTGCTGCTGTTGGGGTGCACCTGTGGGCTATGAGCAGAGGCTCCTCAGCAGGAGGGCCTGGGGTGGGTGATGGTCCAGTTGGGTTCTTGGACCCTGCCCTTGGGCATCCACCTCAGTGGTCAGCCCTGGGTCCTACGGGCGGCAATGGGCCCTGTTGAGCACACGTGGCGGGGAAGGAGACCTGAGCCTGTGCTGGCCCGTGCGGCCTCCTGAGATACCCAGAGCCCAGCTCTCAGGCACCCACCAGTTCACTTGTGTATTAGTGGCCCTTCCCATGGTACCAGTTATTGGAGACCCATGCAGTGGGTTCCAGTCTCCTGTCTGGGTTGTGGTGCACGGTGAGATAGGAAAGAGTAGGACACAAAGTAGAGAATGCATAGCAGGGCTCTGGGATCACCAGGTGCTCTCTAGGAACAAAAGACTCAATCTCCAGCTAGCTGGCATTTTATTAGTCAATGTAGGGTGCTTCTCCTGGAACAATGTGGAGCAGTGGTAGAATGAGCACATTTAACATCATAGAGCTGGGCGTGGTGGTGCATGCCTGTAATCCCAGCACTCGGGAGGCTGAGGCAGGAGGATGTTGTGAGTTCGAGACCAGCCCGGGCTATAAAGTGAGCTCAAAGCCAGCCTGAACTGCATAGCAAGACCCTGTCTCAAAAAGACAATGAAACAAAACAAACAACATCATAAAGTAAGTCAGCCAAGATCCTTCCCCCATCCTGGGTGCTAATCTCGTTGACCAAGAAGAAGGTGATTTCTGCATTCTAAAATGAGCCCTTGAGACAGGCAGGGCAAGGAGAGCCTAAGACATAATATATCAGTTTAACATTCATGGTTCCCAACATTCATGGGCATCAATAGGCTGATTCTTGGGAGTGCTCTTGCTCAGAGAAGGCAAGAGTGGGAAAGAACTGGGGAGATGTGTTCTACTCAGAAAGTGGCTCATGCAAAGGCCCTGGGGCAGGAGACAGCAAGGAAACCTAGGGCTTCTTATTTATTTATTTTTTGTTTTTTTGCTTTTCTTCTGGTACCAGGAATCGAATTCACGACCTTGCGCTTGCCAGGCAGGCGCTTTGCCGCTGAGCTAAATCCCCAGCCCCTAAACCTAGGGCTTGAATGGAGGGATGGGGATGAAAAATGAGGCAGTACAATGAGTTCATGCATCAGTAACTAACGGAAGGAAGACACATCTCCAGTGGATGGGGAAGAAACCCACAACTTGGGCTGTTCCCAGAAGTCTAGGCTACAGCAAAACTTACTGAAGTACAAAAAATGTGCAAGTCTTCTATCCTAGCGGAGATTCTTGTTAGGTTTCCACACTGGACCCTGTCCAACCTGAAGAGAAAAAGCCCCAGCAGACCAGTGTGTTCAAACAAGAAGCCCCTCACCCAGCATGCAAGACTGAAACAACTCTATCAGGTTGATTCTCAGGCTTACAGGAAACCCTGTAAGTACAGAATGCCACTCTGTAAGTCAGCAAAATGCCACTGTCATCCTGCACTTCCTACCAGGTGCTTCCCTCCAGAGGCACCAGACCCCTGACAAATTTAAAATTTTCCATCTCCCTCAGCGGGATCCCCTCCTCTGCTTAAACTGCTCTATAAAGCATATTCTCTCCCTTTGCTTGGGGCCAATGGTCTTTTCGCCCTTGGCCCAACTGCACCCAGTCGAAAATATGTTGCTGTTTGCTTCAACCCTGCCTGTCCTCATAGTCTTGGTTGCTCCTCAGGGGTCTAGCCTGACAATCCAGATCATCCTCTTTTAGTAGTTAGTTGGTTAAGTGCACTCAAGGAAGTAGCAAGTACACAGCTCTGCTAGTCTGACTTGTGAGCTCGAGTGGATAGTGTCCCTCGCACGGGGCTCCTACCAGCCAGGAGCACAGGGACATGTGGAGTCTGCTGAGGTTTGGCCTCAACCAGGCCAGAAAGAAAATGTCAGTACCTCTCAAGGACTGGCTGTGACATGCATCCTACTATCTGACCATAACAGTAACAAAACAGTGGCAAAGAAAACCTTGTATGTAGAAAATTCCAAAGATGTGCACTTTGTGTAACTCATGGTCAAAGAAGAGCTCTTAACAGAAGCTAGAAGATCCGTAGGCCGGAGATAGAGAAGACCTGGGCTTGGGGAATGATCTGAAGTCCTGTAACTCATAACCTTAGGCGGTGCTGAAAACGGGAGAATTGATGAGCTGCACATCCAGTTTCAGAAGTGAGGACATAGGTTGGCAGTGTGCCTCTTCTAAAGGACAGATCGTAAATATTTTGGTTTCGAAGGCCACATGTGGTCTCCCTGCACATGACTCTTACCCTTGCTTCTCTCTTTTTTTTTGTCTTTTTGAGACGGTCTCACTATGCAGTTCAGGCTGGCCTTGAGCTCATTTTGTAGCCCAGGCTAGTCTCGAACTCGAAATGATCTTCCTGCCTCAGCCTCCCGAGTCCTGGGATTACAGGCGTGAGCCACCACACCTGGCTCCCTCGCTTCTCTAACCCTTGAAAAGTATGACAGCCACTCTTAGCACTTACAGAAACAGGCAGGAGACCAAGTTAGTCCCCTGCTGTCATTGTGACCCCTAAACTGGGGAAATAAAGGTGAAAGCCAAAGGGGGAGAAAGGTGCTCATAAGAGAGCAGGACATGAAGCTTGCTCGTTAAGGTGACACATGCCTATAATCCCAGATCACTCGGGAGGCTGAGGCAGGAGGATGGCAAATTTGAGGCCAGCCTGGATGATTTAGCAAAACTCTGGTGTGTCCAAATAAAAAGAGCTGGTGAGTGTTCTTCAATACTTCCCAGGTTCAGTTTCCAGTAGAAAAAAAAAAAAAAAAGACAGCAAAGAAGTCCCTAATCCTCATCTTTGATAGAGTAACAAATTGACAATTATCAGTTGACCTTGACTGGGAAAAAGAACAAGCATATCATATTAATAGGAATGAAAAGAGGGACAAAACCACACAGGCCGCAGAGGTCATAAATGAGAGGTTAGGAACAACTTGGAGGACATGGACAAGTCTGTGGACAATTATTCCCAAA